TTCTGAATCCCTTGCTGAATTCCCAGTTACTGCTGTGCAGAACATGAGAGCAGTGCTTGGAACAGCCTGTTTGTCCAATTCTTGGGTTTGCTGCTCCTGACTAAAGTAATAATGAGGAGGATATGGTGATGTAAACCTAGAGCTCAACACCAGTGACATTTTATGTAGTGTCTAAAGTCTTGTGTGAGTGTTCAGAGTCTCCGAAATCCTGAGGTGAAAATGACAGCTTTTGCATTTAAGAATCCTCAAAATTTTGTCAAGATTTTTGATTGCGGGTTAAGATTTCTCGTTTTGTTTCTTTTCTTGGGGAATTTTTCTTTCCCGTTTGGTTGCTGGGATACACTGATTGCCAGATCATCCTTTTGATGGCTGGGCGATTAGTGAAGACAATAAGAACTATGCCCCACCTAAACGATCTTGCTAAGCACTGGGAGAGTATGTGTGTATGTGGTGGGGGGGTAACTTCACTTCCTGCGCCGCTTGGCTGGGAGAAGGAGGTCGACCTGCTACCTGCTGGGGGGGAGAGCTCGACTGCTCTTTTTCTGCAGAGCCCAGCAACTCTGCTTGTTGGTTCCTGTTTTTGGTGCACTGTGATCTTCTCCCCTGTGCCYTGTCAGGGACCCCCTGAGATTCCAGCTTCAGGGGTGAGCTCTGCTCCATCGCGTCTCGCAGCTGCGGGATTCTGCTTGTCTCCTTGCCATCCTGGGGTTTCTTGCTGTCCAGAGGAGCACCGAGATTGGCGTTTCCACTTTGAGTTTGCAGAGGAACTTTTCTCCATCCATCCCTGCCGCTCTGTGTCCACCATTGGCAACGCGGGAGATTTGAACCAGCCGGGATCCGCACCACAGCACCCCCTGCAGCCGCCGGGGAATCATCGCACCCGCCCTGCCCGGCCGGGAGCCAACAGCGCCCCTGCTGACTGGGACTGGAACTGCACCAAAGGGGAGGGTGTATTTCTGTAAGGCTGTCACTGGGTTTGGGACTGGGCTGTTGTTGATATCGTTGTTGTTACTTGTTACACATATTAAGAAATCTGTTATTCCCTTTTACCCATATTCTTGCCTGAAAGCTGGCTATGTTTTTTTCAAAGCTATAATAATTCGGAGGGAAGGGGGGTCATATCCACCACTCCAAGGCGGGGTCCCTGCCTTCACTGGCAAACACCTCTCTCTCAAACCAAGACAATTTTCCTGGCCAAGGATTTTAACGCCAATGCACAAATTACAAAAATATTAAAAACTGTTTTCATTGGCAAGCCCATTTTAAATGGCATTGGTAAACTAACAGGGGACAGGGTATGACTGTTATCATACAGTCATGATATGACTGTATCATTGGGGACAGTACTTGGCTGTTAAACAGCTTTAGGTGTGGGGGATTAATATTTGCCTGGTTTTACCCCGGAGTTTAAGTTTTCCCAGGGCTTTGACTAGTCATTGCAGGTAACTTTCACTAAATTCAAAAGGATGCAACAGCAGAACTTTTGGAGAATGTGCCCTAGGGATAGGGAGAAAACCTTTAAAATGATCAGCAGGGTCTGGAAAACTTTAAAAAAAATAAAAACAGATATAGCTCTGTGACCTTTCAGGCACTACACTTTGGGTCTGGAGGTAACGTTTGCCTTGCATCAGCTACAAAGTTGTGGCAATGACCCTGTAAGAGCCGTTCCTGCTGACCTGGCAGGCACAGGAAAGCTAAATATTTGAAGTTTCAAAGGCTCAAAGTAATCAAGTGAGGCCTCTAAGATTCTGATGCAGGCTGGGAAGGTGCAGAACACCCAAAACTGTGGTTTTGTTTGCTGTAACCTGTGCTTTTTGTTGCCTCACCCAGAAAGCCCGCTTCCAGCAGCAGCGGTCAGATCTGCAGAGGGTGAGGCTGTGTCCCTTGGGCCTGCATTGTCAGAGGGATCAGACACTGAGCAGAATCACAGTGTCATTTTGGTTGGAAAAGATCTCCAAAATCATCGAGTACAATCTCTGCTCAATCCTCCCCTTGTCACCAGCCCAGAGCACTGAGTGCCACATCCAGGCGTTCCTTGGACACTTGCAGGGATGGGGGCTCCACACCACTCTGGACAGCCCTTTCAATGCCTGACAGCCCTTTCCGTGAAGAAATTCCTCCTGGTGTCCAACCTGACCATCCCCTGGCACATCTTGAGGCTGTTCCCTCTCATCCTGAACCTGTCTGAACCCTCCTGTCAGGGAGTTGTAGAAGTAAGAAGGTACTGCCTGAACCTCCTTTACTCCAGCCTTTCCTCCTGTGACTTAAATGTGCTTAAAAGTGTGGCAGAGGGTACCAGTTTAGTGCAGTGTGTGAGCAATTAGAGAGACTGGAATCTCAAAGGCTTCTTGTCCTCCCCAAGGGGTCAATGGCTGGAGGATATTCAGCAGCCCACAAGGCAGTGTCTGCATGGACTGTGTGATTTTCTGCCAATATCTCGAGGGACACGCAGATGAGTGATGGAGAGAATCAAAGCTGAGTGTCTGCTGTCTGTGAATCRTACATCGGGTCTCAAATCTTCTGTTAGTCTGAGCAAAATTTAGAAGTCTTTCTCCGACCTCTGTCGATGTAAGTCTGCAGGTCTGGGGAAGTTACTCAGAGAATCATAGAATGATTTGGGTTGAAAGGGATCTGAAATCATTCCAATCCCCCTGCCATAAGCAGGAGACACCTCCCACTATCCCAGGGTGCTCCAAACCATTTTCAACCCTGCCTTGGACACTTCTAGGGATTCAGGGGCAGCCACAGCTTCTCTGTGCCAGGGCCTACCCACCCTCACAGGGATCAGTTTCTTCCCAATATCCCATCCAGCCCTGCCCTCTGGCAGTGGGAAGCCATTCCCCCTTGTTCTGCCATGCCATGCCCATGGTGGAGAACTTCTCTGGAACCTTTTGATTTTGCTAATGGGACACCACAAAACCATGGAAAAACAGGGTCATACTGCTGTGAATTTACTTGTTCTTTCTTTTACAGAGGGAACATCATTAACTTTCATCTATCATCTGAATGTCCAGGAAACAAGGGATCAGGAATAGCTCCTCAGTGCCTGGAACACTGTTTAGACTGTTTCCAGCACACAGGCATGTGGTGACGCTGGATGATTTACATTTTAAAGGAAAACACATCTTCTAATTACCAAAATTTTGCTCACAAAGAGGAATTGTTGCTCCATTTGTCTGGTAACAGAGCCAACTCGATTGCTGGGAGTGAGAAGAGTCTGAAAATAGTCATCTAAGAGAGGGACTTTAGTTTCCTCATTTCTGAACTAATGCCTGTTTGCTGCATAGATTAAATTGGATACAGCTTCCTCCTTCTGCCCCAAGCTGCCTTGGCATCTGGGACTTGCTGGTGGTAGAGTCCAAGTTTAGTCCTTAAACTGTCAATTCTCCATCTCAGCTTTCATCACTTCACCGTGTGCCATGGCACCCTTCACCTCGTGGTGCTTCCCAGCAAAGTTCTTATCGGTAAATGCTGGAAGCTGGGCACCGAGAGAACATGGTGAAAACCTCAGGAATCCCCAGAAACCCAGAACATGGGGCACTCTGAGTGTGAAAATGTAAAACTGATTCTGCTGCTTGAATCTCCTGAAAGCAGACATTCGGGGAGTTGGAATAGAAAATATCTCTGTTCTCTGGATGGTGAAAAGCCAGGACTCTGCAGAGGAACTTTGATTTCATTAAACAGTTTCCAAGTCCCACTCAGCATTACTACAATCCTGCTGGCAACATTTCCTAGGGGCCACCCTAAGAGGACAATCTTTAAACCCTGCACTTGACTCAGTATTTAAAATTACTCCTGGACTGGCTACAGCTCTGTGACTTGGTGGCTGGGAAGGAGTTTTACACATTCAGCTTCTAGTGGAATAATGACTGGTCTCAGCATACMAGAGGCAAATGGTTCCCTTTTCGGGGACCTTGAGGTTAATGGAGGAATTTCACTTGTGGGATCTTCAGAATTCCAGTGGAACTGCAGTTTGAAGATCAGTGGAGGAATTTCACTTGTGAGATCATCAGAATAGATATGGAACTTCGGTTTGAAGGTTATTGGAGGAATTTCACTCATGGGATTTTCAGAATTCAAGTGGAACTGCAGTTTGAAGGTTAATGGAGGAATTTTACTCATGGGATATTCACAGTTCCAGTGGAACTGTGATTTGAATGTCAATGGAGGAATTTCACTCAAAATTCCAGTGGAACTGCGATTTGAAAGTTAATAGAGGAAATTCACTGGTGAAATCTTCAGAATTCCAGTGGAACTGCGGTTTGAAGGTCAATGGAGACATTTCACTCATGGGATCATCAGAATGGATATGGAACTGCAGTTTGAAGGTTAATAGAAGAATTTCACTCAGAATTCCAGTGGAACTGCGATTTGAAGATCAGTGGAGGAATTTCACTCATGGGATCTTCAGAATTCAAGTGGAACTGTGATTTGAAGGTCAATGGAGGAATTTCACTCGTGGGATCTTCAGAATTCCACCCAGTCCTGGAAACCCAGATTTAGTTGGAGTTTGCTGTTGCTGCTTGGAAGAGGGCGTGTTTGAGGCATTATCTGAAGTTACGGCTTTAGGAACCTAAATATCTTTTGTAGGTAAGTTTGTAATTAAAATGCTTTAAATTAAAATTCCCCAGTGAGGTATTCATTCCTGGGAAAAATGCAGTGCCTCCCATCGCTTATTGGAGAACTGCTGCTAAATGGAGAAAAGCTGACAACAAATATTTACCCTGGGATCAATCCTGTTTAAAGTGCAGTGTTTGGAACGGTGGGGAGGGCAGGCTCAGGATCAAGGTGTGTTTATATAAAGACAGAGGGATAGCTCTGGAAATCCTTGCTCAGGAAGGCAAAAGGCTGGAGGATTTTGAAAAACACACCATGAGGATCTTGATTTTTGTCCTCACACTGAACATTTTCTCGTGTTCGGGTAAGTCAGAGCCGCATCCCCTTTTTTAGGGTGGTTTTGGCAGGGAAAAGCCTGCAGAGAACTTGTAATGGAATTGTACTGCCCTCTCAGGCTTTCCAGCATATGACTACGAGATCCCCATCACTGAAGAGGCTCTCAATGCTTCCATTGCACGGATCAATTCCCAGTCATGGAGCAGAAACCTGTACGGTGTGGTCAGGAGCCGAGTCATGGGAGTAAGTGTGCGGACAGCACAGATCCTTCACCTTGCGGATGCTCTGCTGAGATGGAAAAGTCTTTTCCACCCAGTCCCTGAAACCCAGATTTAGTTGGAGGTTGCTGTTGTTTCTTGGAAGAGGGTGGGTTTGGGGCATTATCTGAAGTTTTGGCTTTAGGAATCTAAATATCTTTTGTGGGTAAGTTTGTAATTAAAATACCTTAGGAATTCAGGCTTTTCACCCTGAGAGTAGAAGTTCTTGAGGAGTGTGTTGTAGAATTTTGTTCAAAAGAGATGTTTTTAAATACCTCCAGCTAACTGCTTTGCTTTGGGCATTGAGCAACCTGGTTTTAGCTGATTAAATGCCTCCACAAACACATTCAGGATTCTTCCCCTGATCTGTATTTACCTCAACTGTCTCTACACACCTGTTCTGGCTTAAATATGCCAGAGTCTATGGGCAAGCAGGAAACTCTGTTTTAATTTGTGGTGTTAAGAATTGTGTTGGATGCCCCAATATATTGGATACTCCAGACATATTGAGTTAAGGAGTTAAAGCTTCTTAATTCAGAGTTATTGTGTCCTTGCTCCTGAACACCCTCAGAACCTTTCTGTTTCTATAGGTGGCACCTATCAAGACTTCTGCAAGAATGAAGATGAATTAGGGATTTATACAGTTTGGATTAAAAACCCAAATATTTGAAAGTAGTGGGGATTTGTTGTTTGTCGGGAGTGTTTTGTGGGTTGCTTTTTCTTTT